TGGTCCCTTAACGTGAAAATAGCATTACATGCTGCTTTGCATGTGCAAGGCAGAGTAAATACAGTGATTTTAGAATTTTTTTCCCCCATCTCTTGGCAAGAGTGCTTTTTCATTTCTCTTTCCCTGAGGTCTTTCCTTGGCATCTGGATTCCGTTAATTTGCCAGATTTAGGGACTCTAATACATAACAAACACCTGAGGATGAAACTGCCACTGCAAAATTATAACTGAGACACTGAACAGGATCTGACCTAACTGACTCCATCTTGCTTCTAACCTCCAAGCTCCACTGAACGATTCCTGGATGTAAGCTGAACTAACTTTGGGATGAACTTAGTTTATAGTTTGTTTATTTATTTATTTATTTATTGAGACAGGGTCTCATTACGTCATCCAGGCTGGAGCATACTGGCACAATCTTGGTTCACTGCAATCTCCACCTCCTGGGTTCAAGTAATTATCCTGCCTCAGCCTCCTGAGTAGCTGGGATTACAGGTGCCCACTACCACACCCAGCTAATTTTTGTATTTTTAGTAGAGATGGGTTTTCACCATGTTGGCCAGGCTGGTCTTGAACTCCTAACTTCAAGTGATCCACCTGCCTCGGCCTCCCAAATTACTAGGATTACAGGCATGAGCCACCACGCCCGGCCTCTTAGTTTATAGTTTAAAACACAAGAACCCTTTCCCAAAACAAACCCCATTCTTGCCTGGGGACTAGACTGCCTTTGTAGGAATAACATATTAGCCTAAAGATTAGAAATTATGGTTTAGGAGTTCTGTAACTGGAGGCTACAAGAGTCTGACCCTCCCTAAATTGCTCCTGGGGATAACATCACTAATGTAAAATCTAACATCAGCGCTTGAGATATTTTGCAGACCCTGGCACCAGGTGGATCAGCTGACACCACCCAGATCGAGAAACTGGCTCATCTGATCTGATGGCCTCTGTCCAGGAACTGACTCAGGGCAAGAGGACAGCTTCGACGCCCTGTGATTTCATCTCTGACCCAACCAATCAGCACCCCCAACTCACTGGCCTCCCCGTAACCACATTATGCTTAAAAACTCTGATCCCTGAATGCTCAAGGAGACTGATTTGAGTAATAATAAAACTCTGCTCTCCCATGCAGCCGGCTCTGCGTGAATTACTCTTTCTCTATCTCCATTCCCCTGTCTTGATTAATTGGCTCTGTCTAGGCAGTGGGCAAGAGAAACCCAGTAAGCGGTTGCAAAATGTTTGATCAAGGTGGGCTCTAGGGAGTGCGAAAAAGCAACGCAATATACAGCCTGGGCCGGGAAATAAGAAACCTAAGTTTTGCTCTTAGCTCAGCCACCAACAAGCATGGTGGTAGCCATGCCAGCTTCTCAAAACACAAAATACTATTTATTTGTGGGTAGGTTTATCAGATTTAGGGGGAAAATTACAGGATGCTCAGTTAAACCTGAATTTCAGATAAACAAGAATACTTTTTTGGTATAATCATGGTCCAAATGTTACAAGGGACATACTTAAAATTT